GACTTGGAAGGTCGGAATTCCTCGCTGCATCAGGTGCGACCGAGAAATCTCCTTCTGGAGACGTTACAACTACGTCTACAATCGCATGTACGAGCCTTCAATCTTCGATCGGAGCGAGGCCTCGAATGCGAAGCACGCCGTCGAAGACTTGCGCGGACATCTGAAGAGGTTCCAAGCTGAAAACAGAGCGCTTGAAATGCGGGAAGACTCGGCGAGCGCTGAAATGGCGCGATACTACGCAGGCGAGATCGTCGGGAACTTGGAGAAGCGACTACGAAAATCGGAGGTGGAAGACGTTGGGCTCTGCAATCGAGTTTTCCAGGTGATGCTAGGGCGATCTGGCTTCGGATCTGCATCGAAGTCGTTCAGAATCATTTGTATGGCATTGATGTTCGAAAAGCTGAAGATGATTTTTTCGCTTATTCCGAACATCTCTTCAGATGCTGAAGTCGCTCATGAAACTTCTCCCAGAGGCGATGCAGGCATCAGATTTTCATCATGGCGAAGAGTCGATCCAGAAAAAAACCTTCCTTCTGGCCAGCGAAGTTTTCGAGGATCTTCACGACATGGCCGACATCAAGCCGGAATCAGAGGTAGTGACTTAGTCAATGTCTTCCTGAAGGAAGTTTCGGACGAAACTTCTGATGATCGAAGTCAAACTCCTCTCTTCTCCCCCTCTTGACGCTCAGAGCTCATGGACCGCATCCGTGTTTGACGATATCTGCGCCGAAGCCCTGCGTCTCAAATACGTCCTCATGCTCCCGCACGTCGCAAAGAATCTACGAGCCCGTTTCCTTGAGTTGATTTTCGCCGACGGAAGGTTTACACCGACTCCTGCGAACGCTATACTCCAGGTGAGCGGCGCTCGGTCAAATACGAAATTCGCACGAATTCATTCTCGCAGGTCTCGATTTAATTCAATTATCGTTCTTACAGCGATCGGATTCAAAACTTAAAGTTCGTCCATTCGCCCATTGATGAGTCCTTCGGTCGGCCGGCGCATCCTGCTTTTCTGATATTCATTCGTCCATCCGGGGACAGCCGATTTATTTATGCCTCACCGGGCGGAGAAGTACTATAAATTCAACCGTTCCACCCAGGGCATACGATTATATCATATTAGATCATACGATTCGCGTATGAGCTGGGACAGATCGACAGTCCCATGATAAGACTGACAGAGTGACCGATGATAATTAGAGCTCCTGAATTTCGGACATTTCCTATTTGTAGTATCTGCAAGAGCGAAGACCCAACTTCATATCTACAAGTGCATCGCCTTTGATGAGTTTTCCTTGGCGTCGTAGGCTGTGGGGACCTCTCGAGTCAGGATACCGCAATCAAGTCCTTTCCTACGCGAACGCCGGGGGAGCAAATATCCCAAGGGAATGTTCTAGGACTCTAATAACAATGATTCATCATTCCTGATAGATGATCTTACAATTAGACGTCCGCCTGGGAGCATTTAAGTAATTGGGTCAAAACTGAGAATCATCGTCATCACGATATGCAAGGCGAGCGAAACGACGATCGAACAGAGCCGTATCGATCAAGCTCATTCCGCGTTGGCTCACGCATACTCGGAACCAAAGACTGAGAGATAGAGGAATTCTCAGCTCGTGGCTTATTCCCTCGTATCATTCTCATGTACTGGCTTTACAGTGCAGCCACTGAATACCAGAACAGAATTCCTGCTACATGTATACGTCCAAGCCTACGATAATCGACTAGGGAAAGTAATTCGCAATGAGGGAGCGGATTTCGACGACGACTGTCTACAGTGATCCTGACCTCCATTTCCTCATCGGGAGGGATCATAGCATGTCAGGAAAGTGACAGAAAATCTCGCCCGTTCCGAAAAGAATGCTCAAAGCTAATTTGTCTCAATCCGAGTAATCCGCTTTCGAATATCTTTCCTCGCGTCGGAAGTGCACGAGCACCTCAGCATGGAACGCTCGCGTGGACCGACTGTCGGGTTCCCGAGATCGCTCCTCATGTGGGAGGTGCTTGTTCGAGTTCTGAATCGATTCATTTGATGATGTTTGAAGGTGCCCAAGTGGTAAGGAGCAAGGGATTTCGGAATTCTCGCTCAGGACTGCCGAGCTGTCGGCGGGAAACGAGTCTGACAGTTCTCCGTCTCCAGGACTTGCCATCGCATACGTGGCTCTCATTGACGCCCTTTGCCTCCATCATTCTGTGAGAGCAGCCATGATTCTTTATCTTTAAACCAGCGCTCCCGGTCGCCGCTTCGCGACTCACTACACATGCGCTGGCTCCGAGTGCGCAGGCTCCGGTGCGCTTGCTTCGGGCGCGCGTGCTCTTGGTGCGCGTCTCGTTTCCCCGCTTTCCCAACGCCGAGTGCGCTGGGCTCCCGAGTGCGCTGGCTCCGGATGCGCTGGCTCCGTATGCGCTGGCTCCGTATGCGCTGGCTCCGGGTGCGCTCGCTTTGATCGCGCGTGCTCTGGGTGCGCCTCCCTGCTCCCCACTTCCCCGTTTCCCCACTTCCCCGTTACCCCACTTCGCCGCTTCCCTACTTCCCGTCTCCCCACTTCCCCGTGTCCCCGCTTTCCCGTTTCACCACTTTCCCGTTTCCCCGCTTTCCCGTTTCCCCGCTTTCCCGTTTCCCCGCTTTCCCGTTTCCCCGCTTTCCCGTTTCCCCGCTTTCCCGTTTCCCCGCTTTCCCGATTCCCCGCTTTCCCGTTTCCCCGCTTTCCCGTTTCCCCGCTTTCTATCTATACCCTTCACGGCTACAGCAATTTTCAGCGAGATTCATTAGTAGAAAGACAGAGGCCAATGTTGACGGCAACCCCCGATAGCCTTCTTGGGAGCTCCCGAGAATCCGCCCCCTCATAGTGGTCCAGCCGTTGAAAAACCTGCAAATTCCCGTCTTTCCCTTTATGAAATCTTTGATTCTCGATGAGAGGACCACTCAAATAATTTTTTCATGGAGGGAGGACCCATCACATGAGAACAACGACCCTCATATGACCCTCCTGAAGCTCCCGAGAACCCACCCCTAAATTTTTGCGGCGATCGGTTCAGACGCTCGTGAATTTTGCGAATTCCCGATTTTTTAATTTTTTTCCGAGTTTCCGTATTTTCGTGGGTGGGGCACTCAAATAATTTTTTTAAGGTAGAAGGACTCATCGCATCGGAGAACTGACCCCCCTATAACCACCGCTAGATCCCCCAGAACACGCTCCTAAATTTTCACGACGATCGGTTCAGCCGTTTTCGAGTCTATAGGTTACCCCGGACAGACAGACAGACAGACAGACAGACAAACAAACAGACAGACATACGTTTTTATATATGTAGATCTTGATCGCTGGCTTCGCTCATGGGATCCCACAGATCCCGCCGATCGTGGTAGGTACATGATACGGATTCTCGCTGAGAAAGAAACCTTATTCCCTCAGCGGAGTCTCTGATTACTGTTTTCCTCCGACGAGGGGAAAGAGTATTTCGATGGCGACGAGGATCCGAGTGCACTTCGGGAAACGGTGGTAGCTCTCAAAATAACAGTCGGTGCCTGACTCATGCATCGAGACCAGTTATGAACCACGCTCACACTGCGTAACTTCGGAATGTGAGTTGGAACATTCGGGGCTGCTCCCTCCTCTAGCTCTCGTCTATCGTTAAGTGGTTCGCTTCGTTTGGGCAGTGTTCGGAGCCCCCGTCTCAGGTGAATCAGAACTCGAAAGACCTGGGAGACCGCGCGAATCGCTCCCCCTTGGGACTTCCGAGCTGTGTGACACCATTCCGAGCATTGTGATTTCCCGGAACCGTCCTGTTCCAGAAGTCAGACGCCTCATACATATCACTTCGGGAGCGGGAACTCCCCACCGAGCCACCGAGGTAGGGCTGCGCCGGATACAGACTTGAAAACTGAGCGATACTCGAAAAAAAGTTCGTGCTAGCTGGTGAATGGAGCTTGTCTCTGGGGCGGAGACTGACGAAGAAGAAGAATTCTCCACAGCAAATATCGCACTCAGTCCGCTCTATGAATCGCAAACCCCCCTTCATTGTCTTTCTAGAGTTCTAGGGTAGTTCCGAAGAGACATTGCGTGTATTCGCGACAGTCGGCTCGATCGATCGCTTGAATTGATGCCGCTAGTTCTTTGGAGCTTATCGGAAGAGTTCTGCAACGGGATTGTAGATCATCAGATGGTCTTGAGGAGTGCGCTGATTTTGAGACGATCGCTTCAATCAGCGACTCTGACGCCCCACTTGGTGTCAATCGATCGAAGCTCGGTATCCATCCGAATTCCATGTTGTGTGGATCGCTCCCATCAGCAAATCTGACGCTCTAATTGGTGGTAATTGGTAATCGGTCGAAGCTCGGTATGACATTGTCGGGTTTCCGCACTTCGGAACCCCCGGAGAACGCCGAGGGAGAGGGCTTCTGCCCATAACTCGAGCAAACCTCAGTTCCACTCATCTACGCGGTCCACATGATGGTCTGGTGCAAACCCCTGGGCGGAATCTCCTTCCTCCGAGATCAGGACCCGCCTGGAAGAATTCCGTTGGCGCGCACGTTGGTTGTCATGCTCGAGCGAATCTCAAAGAGTAACGAAGTTGGAGATCGTCGTCAGCGCGGACGTCGGTCGCCTCCGTAGGGAGCGATGCAGTCTTCGGTCGAATCAGAATCGGCTCTTTCTCAGCAGGAAATGTCTGAGTGGATAACTGTGAGTCGGCACAAGAGATCCGGTGACATCTTCGGAGGTGCCAAAGGCCTGAAAGACGGTAAGAGAAGAGAGTATATATTCATTCCCTCATGGGGATCCTTCCGCGACCATGTCCCGATTTTCTCGCTTCGATCTTTGATTTGACTTTTTCTGAGACCTCAAATGGTTGATGAGTAAGTTCCGTCTTCAATTAGGGCCTGCCGAAGCTGATGATAGGAAATCAATCGAGGATTTCGTCGCAATCGCCAGAGGAGCTAAAAGTCCACTGAAAGCTCTCTACGGGGCTTCATGGTTCATATCGCTGTCCCAAACAGAGATATCGGGTGAGCGCCTCGCTGTTCATCGCACCGGGATCTTTCCTATCCGGAGCTGCGCCTCCGATCTCCGATTCCGGGAGTCAATGATGGGCCTGAAGCTGAGCTTCACTCTAATTCTCCAGTTGAGGATCTCCCAAGCTTCCTGAATATCCTCGATAACGTTCTCGAGCGAACTCAACCCTCGAATGAGCTTTCTGAGTTTCTCGTGCAGTCCTTGGTGCACAAGGAACCGAAGTCCGCACTTGAAAAACTACTGGAGGTTGAATGCTACGATCCGGCCAATCTGATCGCCATGTGTCGATACCTCGAGCTTGTCAAAGTGAGCTATTCTGGGGTAATTTTGTTCCAGCTTATGTTCGATTATCTTCGAATGACTCCGATTTTCGCGCGACACGATCCTTGTTGGAAAGATTCTCGGGAATTAAGGTCCCGAATTTCATCAGGCTTGCTGGTCCGGGGAGTTTTCCGTTGAGAAAGACCGACTCCGGAGTATCGCAGCTGTATTCTATCGTCTCTACTGGAAAAGAGAACATGGTTCAACAGATCGAACGTCGCATCTCCTCGTGACTGAATACATACAGGACTTCCTAGAAAACTTCGAGCTCTGCGACTTCGAGGAACTATCCATCGGCGGCTATCCGAGCGGCCGCAAACCTCCGGAAGATTTCCGTTCGATACCAAGCTTCCCCCGGAGTCAGGATGTTTACGGAGATCTTCCTTTCCTGCGACCGAATATCATCAAAGGTCAGGGAGCTTCGGAATGTTGGATTCCGCTCGATGAGAGTCGTCTCGAGGGAAATGTAAGTGACGAGTTGACATCCCCCTCACAGGACCTTACGAGGATCTGAATGCCTACTTGGACATCCATTATCGCCTCCTTCGAGAAGACTATATCGACGCTCTGAGGAATGGCATTCGGAATCTCCGTAAAAAACGAGTTCACCCACGATTTGGTGAGATTCCAAAGGGAAAAAGATAAAGAATCCATGGTTCCGTGGACGAGGTGAGTGATCCTAAACCTTCAAATTGAGACATTGATTGGACCAGTCAGCATCATCTGCGCGTTCGACAGCCCTAGCTCTGGTTTTTTTTCTGGTCCTGTAGTTCGGAACGAGCACCTTCCGCCTGACCGCCAATCTTGGACATGTCCGTGACTTCAAGCAGGGAGTGTTGGTGGCCATCCCGAGACATGGACTCGACGACTTGATCTATGCGATTTGTCTCAGAAACGAAAATGGTGAGTTCACTCTTGGAGGTGCAGATTCCCGCCGCGATTTTCCATTATTTGCTGTGTTGGTCGCTCTGCTAAGGCTCAAATCTCAACTCGAAGGTCAAGTCAAACTGGAGTTCTGCAATGCGAAGGAGATCCTGTCCGTGGAGGTGGAGAAACCCCATCAGATGCTCGTTCTGAAATCGGCCTACTATGGAGCGTTCCGATACAGCCTGGACGCCCTTAAGAAGATAAGGCACCTTCCGTTTCAATCGACCATAGTGTCCGTTCAGCGAGATGAGCTTCCCCCTTTGCACTGGGTCAAAGCGGATCGAGGAACCCTGCTGAGGGAGAACCAGGATATCTTGAACGAGTCGCAATTCGAGGCATTCCGCCAGACGCTAGCTCAGAAAGTCTGCCTCATACAAGGACCCCCGGGGACCGGCAAGACTTATGTCGGCTTACGCATTGTAGAATCCATTCTTCGGCACAAGGTGACCGCTTCGCCGATCTTGGTGGTTTGCTACACGAACCACGCGCTCGATCAATTCCTCGAAGGTACGGAACGCTGTGCAATGCCTTCGGAAAGCGACCTAGCATCGAATCGAAGAAGTCCAGAGATTCTCCTTTTTTTATTCCCCCGAGCAGGAATGCTGAAGTTCACCCGATCCCTGGTCCGAATCGGGGGCCGGAGCAAATCAGACCTGTTGGCTCCAGTCAATTTCGAAAACTTGAAATCGGAGTCGGACCAGAGGCCGTATTTGACCAAAGTGGAGTGGCGCCAGAAATCCGAAAGTCTCAGTCAGATCGAGTCATGTCGCAATCGACTCCGCAACGCGAAACTATGCTAGCATTCATCGAGGGTGAGTGCAGCACGATTCTCGCCTGAATCGACGCGGGTGAGGTTTCCTGGATGACCAGCGACCTCACGAGTGGTCTCAGCTCAGTTAGACATGAGTCGCATCTTCTTTCCCTCGAAAGGCGGAGTCTTTTCGACAAAAAAAGCAAGTTCTTCAAGGATGCTGCGGGCCTCGCCAAATACACGGGAGATATCGCAGAGTTCCTCGAGCTCTACGAGCTCTGTCGGCAAGCCGTAGCTGACAAAAGATTCCAGGGAAGCAACCCGGTCCCTCAAGGCGACCATGTGGTAAGTGTCGCTCTGAGAGTCTGCCTTTTTATTGAAGCCGCCGAGCCATGTACGAAATCTCATCTCTCCTCAGAGGGCATACATTAATGCCAGGATGTGCAGCGGGGACCTCCGTGAGAAAGTCGTTGAGGAAAGAATGTGCAAGAGTATGTCTCTGAACCGGTACGCCTTTTTGAAGGTCACCGAGAAGCTCATATACCAATATGGTCACAAGGTACTTCGCGTTCCACGAAGTTTGAGGTGACGGGGCCGTGCGGGCGTTGCAAACGCTGCTCCGCGTATACGTCCCGATCGTTGATATGCCGAGATCTGCGCCGAGACGCTCGACGGCTCACTTGTAGCTTTTATTCCCATAGGGCAATAAACCGCGACATAAATTGACACTGAACGAGAAATGGCGGTACTACGCAACCCTACATTGGCGGACTATGATAGAGGATGATCGGTCCGGTCTCGAGCAAGAGGACTTGGTTGATCTCGCAAGATTCGAAGCGAAACGGCAGAAGTTGAGAGAGCTCTTCGCCGAGAGCCACAAACGTCACGCCGAGCGGCTCGCGTGAGTTGCGGAACTCTGCTTCTCTTCTCCATTCCTCAAGACGGTGAATAATTCTTGGCG